TCAAGAAATTTCCCACTGGGATTTAATTGAACAAGAAGAAGTGTGGGAAAAATTAGCCCAGGAAATGTTCGACTTAAGAGAACAGTTACGGGAAATATTAAGATTAGAAAGACAGCTACGAAGAAGAGTATACCGAGCACGCATGAGGAAAGAATTAGACGATCTATGGTTGGAAGATAGTGACGATTCACCACACGACATATTTGACTTAAGGTCATTATTTTACTTATCAATATTAAACAACTAAAGGAAATTGATTTCGGGAATAGGGATCTTAAAATAAAAAAGGGAAAACAAATATTTTTAAAATAAATGATTATATTTTGTGTTAACAAATGAAAAATAGGAAATATATAAAGGATTGTTAAAAAATATTTATACTATATCTATATACTATATCTTATATTCAAATAACTATTATAATATACTAAATGACATTTTTAAATTTTGTAAAAGTTTTAGAATTTTGAATATGAATATGAAAGAATTTCGAAATAAAAATCCAAAACACAAAAACATCACTATAAAAACTGTCCACATTTCCACTTTCACCGAGGGGGGTTGTGAGGTCTCCGCAATGGGGCAGGAGGATCTCGCGGACGGAACAGTCGCCTTCCCTCTTGAACCTCTGCTACCGGAACGGCGGGCCTTACCCGAATCCCGGTAGTGACGAACCAGAAGTAGTCCCCTATCCCCGGATAGAAAAAATATCCAGGACCTCTTACTTCGCCAATGTTAATATGGCTGAGAATCCTGGACATTTGTGGGGCAGGGAGCTGAAGCCACTCGTCTGGCAAGTCAACAACCTCTTCTTACTTCGCCAATGTTAATATGGCTGAGAATTCTGGACATCTGTGGGGCAGGGAGCTGAAGCCAAAGTCTGGCAAGTCAACAACCTCTTCATGACTGTTTAGATGGTTCGGAAGGGTGTCAAAGAATTCCTGAAAATAAAAAAAATTAGTAAAAACGAAATGAATAAATAATATCGATAACAAATTCGTAATACTTACAAAGTCGCGAGCTTCTTCCTGATTTTGTCCGTTTGCCGGAGGACGCTCAGTTTCCCTCGTAGGAAGTTCCAATAGAAACGATAGGATGAATA